ATATGCATCAGTCAGGAGACCACAAGTCAATCATTCATTTATCTTTTGCCTACCAGGTGATAATGACAAGTTACAACCCTTTTCATTACAAAAGACAATTCAAACTGTGCACAGTTATGGCATAGTTGAAACTCATCTTCCCCAGAAGGCAGCATAAACCAAGAAAAGTTCCTGGGTTTCAGGGCCAAGAGACTATACTCTGTATTGAATTCTACCATGTACTTCTTCCATGACTATGGACAAGTTACTTACATTATCTCATTCTCAGCTCCCTGTCTAGAGACAATGATGATAATGCCTTCATGAAATCACTGCAGAGTACAAGAGAGTACCTAGTGCTAGTGAATTCCCATGTAAAAACTGTTTTCTCTGTCCTGAAGATGATCTCACAGATCAAAGAACCTCAGACTCTGAAAGGACAATGACCACTTGACAGAGTAGAACATCCAACACTTTTTAGGTCCATAAAGCAATGAGAGCATGGCACTAAAATGGCTAACTTCCATTGTAAATGAGCAACTGATACAAGAGAAATAAGGGTCAGTGGGGCTAGCTCTTTGGAAATAGATGTCTTTAAATCACACAATCTTGCCAAGTCAAACAAAACATTCTCTGCATCATAGAATTTGCTTCCCTATTGTAAGACGTCCAAGAAATTAAGCAAGCATTTGACTTTGCTACACATCAGCTCTCCAATGTGTCTTATGAATGATGTCAAAATTCTGAGCCCATTCTTTGTGTCTCTGCCTGGCATTCACTGAATTCTGCCATTTCCATAGAAATAAGAAATTCTCATCAAAGACTGTATCCTTCATATCCTCGAGGTTTTATGTCTATGAAATGCAAGTAGCTAAGAATTTAAAATATGTTTTCAAAACAGTGGTATTGGTATGAAACATGTACAATCTGTTGGTCCTTTTCCTTACTCCTTAAACAATAGAGAACAATCTTAAGTAACATCTCCAAGTAAGACACACAAGGGTTATGTGAAAACACTATTGCATGGGGGACTTAGGCATCTGGACCATGGTATTCATGAAGTCCTAGAACGTATCACTTAAGGACACCAAGGGACAACTCTAATCCCCACTGAAGGTAATTCCCAGTGTTCTGGTTTAGAAGATGACACTGAGAACTACTATTGAGTTGGCCTTACTTTTAGAGGGATCTGATGAGTGCAATTAAAGATTAAAACTCATCTTTTCTTTCTATAAATAGCTTGATCTTCAAAACAGGTAATCTGGTCATGATGACCTTGTAAAAAAGCATATATAATTTTCTCAAGGTATCCATGTAATGCCTATTTACTCAATGTTCTTCCTGACTGAAAAAATTTCCCATTCTCCCTGCCCCTGATGCATTACACAGAGTCTCTTGCTTGATACAAGTGTGACATTCAGCCAAATGAAGGCTTATAGAGAGGCAGATGAAATTTGTCAAAAGATTTAAGAAGTAGCTTTCTGTAAGGGCTTCACCTGACTGATGACCCAGAAAACCCATAAGTTCACAACCGGCAAGAGAAATAGCCAATGTCTATGTGCATAGCAAACTGTGAGATGAGAAATGACTCATAGCAAAATGATGTGTAACAGCCATCAGATCTCCTCCTTCTCTACTCCCAACCATCCCCCTGCTGTGGGTCCCATTCCATGCTGTGCTACACAGTGTGATCACACATGCACAAGTATATTTAATGTGCATTTACTATGCCAAACAGTGTGCAGAGGTGTGTGTATTTTCATAGACTATAGATGATAGTGCTATATGCTATCTAGCCAGTCCTTGCCTCCTGGTACTTTAAGTTAACAATTTTTCAACTGTATGGTAGTATATGGTATCTGTATTAATGGTATCTGTATTGGACCACTTAATGAATGATACTTTGGGAGTATAAGAGTGAAGGCTTGTGCTATTTCTATGAATAAGCAAATAAACAACCTACTTGGATAACCAGTCTTCTAAGCTGAACCATACAAACAGGTCTGAAAATAGTTTCTCCATTACCAAGCCAGGGATTCAGTGTTCAGCATGAGCACGCCAAAGAAAAGAAGTTATAGAAGAAAAAAATAATGATGGAAAAGCCAGAAGGGACAGGAGTGTGGAACAGTTCAGATTAGTAACAAAGCTCTCAGGGCTGGATTTACCAACACAAAAGTCTTCATTGTGAACAATTTTTCAAAGAGAAAAAGAAAGTATGCCAACAGTCAGTGATCCTATGAAGTCTGGGTTGGGACTGTCATGGGGGAAACTAGCTCTTCCTTTTGTGGAGCGTTTAGAGGGCCATTACACAAACACACACACACACACACACACACACACACACACACACACACACGAGTATCTAATTGTATTGGGATAGAAACACTCTTATTTACATTTGATAGGATCTTTAAATGGTGGGATTTACGTATAAACATATATGTAAATATGGGTCAAGAGTCTAGCCCAGGTGTCATTTCTTCAAGTTCCTGGGCAGCCTTTAAGCCTCAATTTCTTCAATATACAAAACATATACCCACTTCTTAAGTTGCAATTGGGTCCTTGACATACTATCATCATAAATTGAAAATGGCATCAGTTGAAAATGCATTCAGCAGTTAAATAGAGATAACAGCACCACTCAGCAGTGAGATGCCCTGTTGGGTACCAGTGGTTTGCCCTTCTGATCATCTGGCTCAATAAGAACTGTAGCTCAATCTACTACTCAGCTTGTCAAGAAAGGAAGACCCAAACTCAAGATTCAATGCATGGTTTCCATTGAAATCCTGTCACTTTCACACCATTACACAGTTGATAAAATTGTTAAGTCAGGGTACTGTGAGCCAAAGACTGGCTAGACAGCATGTAACATTACCATGCACAGTCTATGAAAGTCTGTACACCTGTGTACATCATTAAGTATGGTAAATGCACACTAAGTATACACTATGCTTACTAGTGTTGATGATCTTCTGTACCAGTAACAGAAATCTTGGGTACTTTTTCCTGCTTCTACACTGGGATATATTCACTACAATAGACACATGTACTACAAATTCCTCATCTTCAAAATGCATGTGTTAAACTGAACATTTTTCAATTCATATCCAGATCTAAACTTCTTTGACACTGTGATATATATTATTTGCATGTAAAATTAATGACTTAAAAAACATTTTTATCAGTGCTTTGAAAAGGAGGTATCACTCATTGCTCAAAATCATTGAGAGCTCAAAACTTCAGCAGTTGGACAATTCAGAAGACATTGAATCCCACATAGACATCCCATTGGATGTGCTTGGTAGGGAAGAAGTATTCACCCAGGACTTCATGGATGCCAGGCAAGTGCTGACCACTGAGCTCCACCTCATCCCTGTATATTATCATAAATGTATTGTCTCAACAGAGAACTGTCCTTAGTTTAAATACCAATAAATACTGTGTTTTATTATAAGAGAAGTGTATTCTAGAGACAAGATTTGACTAGAGAAATTTTTGTTTTGCTTTGTTTTGTTTTCTCCATTGTGAACTTGTGGACTCTGCTAAACAGGAACTCTCAGGAATGGCCCAGGCAACAGCAGCCATCTGCAGTGAGACAGGGAAGAAGTCTCAGGCTGCACAAGGAAGTCACAGGCTATACGGGGAACATACCAGCTGACTCCAGGACCTCACAAAATGGCATAAAGAGGAACAAAGAATTGGAGCTTTTTTTTTTTTTTTTCTCTTTGGGCACTCAAGATTTTTGCAGATTCTTCCACATTTTAAGGAAAAGAAGAAGAGCCAGATTAACCTCTTTTTGTTGTTGGTTTTGGGGTTTGTTTTGTTTTGTTTGTCACCTCCCACCCCCACTCCACAGAGCACCCAAAGCTGTCTGCTTAGCTATCATGGCTGGTGAGATGTCTGAGGTCTGCTGAGTTTCTTTGGAGACTCAGTGTCAGAACTGCCACAGCCAACTTTATGTGGAGACCGTTTATACAGTCTCCACATGCAAGAAGGTGAGGGAGGGGGTGAAGAAGGCCCTATATGCCCTCCAGCATTGCTTACAAACAAATGGAACAATTTCATCCTTGAGGGCAATCAGTCAGTAATCTTGAGGAAGCTGGACTCAGAAGATCCTAGTCTCATCTCAAGCAAAACCCTACCTCCTGAGACTACAGCCCATCTCTGGCCCCCAGGACTGTCCAGGCAATCCAGAAAAAAGGAACCTGAAAAGGTTTGCCAGTTTCAGAGGCTACACCATCAGTGAGACCTCTGCCTACTCCACAAGCACCAAACATGCCTGAGCAACAGCTCTGTCCCACTGGCATTCCCACTTTCATAATCCACATCATCAATAAGGAGGAATAAGAAAGAAAAACAGCCCAAGACCCTGAGCACCACACAGCCACTAAAATAAGGAGGGCCCAAGCAACTGGAAGTGTTAGCTTTGATGCCATGAGCCAGTATGAGCTTATAGAAGAAAAGCATTGTAAAGTTAAGTATTCAATGAACCCGAGAGCATTTGTAGAACCTCAAGTGACATTTGATCCACTAGTCAATGTAGAAGTATATTTTGCAGACTCTTACACTACACATAGTTACATAAATCTTTTTTTTTTTTTTTTTCAGAATTGACTCAAAATGGTCAAGTCAGCCATACCATAAATTCGCCTTTTTAAAACAACTATGTTTCCCCAAGTTTCAGTGGTAAAATATTAGCAAAACTCTGGCCATGCACTCCTACGCACCAGTTCACTTCTGTGTGATTTAAATCCTGACTCTGAGCCTAAAACTCCTGGACATCTAGAAATCAACTCCTTTGCTGGAATAAGTCTTCCATCCTCAAAGTTAGAAGATACTGTGACTAAAAAGAACAGCCTTAAAAAGTTAATAAAAGCCACAAATTAACACATACAAATACAGAGTACCAAAATCCAGATGGAATAATAAATTGTTGGTGGTTTGAAGCACACACACACACACACACACACACACACACACACACACACACACACCCCAGAGGTAAGTCTCTGGTTACTTACTTACTAGGGTGATTTTCTCTTCCTCACACCAGCGCTCTGCCTGTCTAGCTGCCAAGTGTGTAGCATGCCGCCAGCAGCTGTTCCCTTCGAGCCAGGCTGTATGTCTTACCCAGTCATATGCACCTCCTGATAAACACCGAGCTGTGCCAGGAGGTCAGAAACCGAAGCTCATTATTCTCCCAGCTGGCAAACCTTCTCCTAAGCTGTGGGTTGGCTCAGCCACTTCATTAGCATTCGGGGTAGGGCTGTTTGTTTTTCTTTTAGAGGCAATCCCTTCTTCTCCCCCCAAGAGCTGGTAAGTCACACTACCAGAGAGCAGGTCACCTCAAACAGAACTGCGCTTGTGTGGGGGATGGGGAGGCTGACAGCCTCCCATCTCACTTAAGTTTTCTCTAAGGTGTGTCTAGTCAGCAAGAAAAAGGAACCAGGAGTTCAGCCAGCAGGTGGAAGTTGCTTTTATAGGTCAGGTGCCCTTAGAACAGTCGATCTTGGTTTCATTTTCTCAGCACTCCAGGGTCCAGTATGTGTGTGGTTCTCCGCACAGTAAAGGGGACTGTCCCAAGGAAGGCAAACTTTAGCCTTCTGAGAATGTTTAGTCGTGTCCCCACACCCTACCTGGCATACCTTTCCAAGGCCAGGGCTGCTGTAGCCAGAGATGGCCAGGGGTGATGAAAGAAAATCCCATGCATTTTTGTCAAGAGCCAGTGGAAATGATTGTCTGTGGCTTCAAACCTCACTTCCACATAGCTGCCTATCATATCGCTGTCAACATTCTGGGGAAGCACAGAGCAGTAGAGACTGCAGCCAGGGTGACTGGAAAGAGAACTATCACTTTGCAAGTGTGTTTCCTGCCAGGAAGCTGGGACAGAAGCAGTTTCTGCCTGCTTGCAGCAGTGGCAGGCTAGCCTGCCCATTGTGTTAGATCCATCCTTCCCAGCAGAGTTTAGTTCCCCTTCTCATCCTTATCATTTTTTCTCTCCTAAGAAAACCTTTGGAGTGTGTGGCTTTAGAAGGTGTCTGGCCTTGAGTCTCAGACTTCTTGGAATAAAACTAGGCTGGAGCTCACCTTTGGAGGGAGATCTGGCAGAATCGGTTTATTTGGAGAAGTGAACATCAGGAATGGATGGCTAAAGACTCCCAGGGGATTTCTGAGTCATCACTAGGCTGTTACTGTCAGCCTCAATTTTTAACAAGTGTAAACGCTCCCAGGATAGGAGCATAAATGGCCAATCTTCCAAACTGAGGTTCATCTTATAATTATTTGTGGTGAAAGTCAAAGCAGAAATTTCCCTCTGCATAAAAGCTAGTATTACGAAGAAAAGGGGGGGGGGAGGAAGAAGTGGAGGGAGAGGATCAATTTCTCAGGTCTAATTTTTATTTAGTAGTGATAGCCCAGAGTATGTTTGGAAACCATTGGGAATATCAAAACCTGTTATTGAGAGTTTGAAGTCAGAAATAGATATAAACTCCAGGTCTGGGGATGCAATGCCCTGAAACACATCATCTCTAGAGGCTTTTCCACTCCTGTGCTGATGACTCAAACTCCAAGAACCAACAGAAAAGGAAGTCTGCTAATCATTTGAAATTCTCTTCTGATTTTTTATACTCTATGTGTACAGTACCAGAAACTTCTTGACCTGATGATTTATATCAGTCACTTCATTATTCTGACAATCCAGTATGCAGCAACTAGTCAAGGAAGGGGGGGGGGATTTCTGGAAGCTCTTCAGTGACTAACAGAGAAAACAATATAGAGATTCTTTGCCAATTCTATTTACAGTGAAGGGTGGACCCTGATGGTATTTATGAGGCAAAATGTCAGCATGAAGATCAAGACATTGATGTCTTCTACTCTGGGTCTAGTAAAATGACAGATGGCCTCACAATTATTTCATCTTCTCCAACCTTGCAAGGGCAAGAGCATGTTTCCAGCCACCCTGCCTACAGGTGACAGGTATCCATCATTTCTTTCATCTCCAAATTCTTGCCTCCCCCTGAGTTCCCTACCATCTTGGAGCCTCTCTGCCTGTGCATCCTATGCGTCCTAGACCCTCACCTATAGCCACACCTGTCTCCCACTCAGCTGACCTTCCTCACTATCTAACTGTGCCCACTTTGCTTTTCGTCCAAACAACGGTCTTTCTGATTCATTCCTGTCTTAAGTCGGTCTTTCTTCCCAACTAAGTTCCTGAAGACATACCGTGTCTTCTACCTCAATTCCCAAAGGCTCAGTCTGCTGTGCTCTGGCTTCTCCCACTTTGCAGACAGGGCTTGTTCCAGGTGGCTAGACACCAAGAGCAATGGACATGGGTTTGCTCTTCTCTTACTTAAACTTTTGGTTACATTTGACCCAACTGACTTTGTGGTGCCAAAAATGTCCTGTGGCTTCCTCAAAATCTTACTGTAAGTTCCTTCAGCCTCCTATATGGACTTGCTTTCTACTTGTCCTGAATGTGAAAACTCCAATTCCTATTTTCTAACTAGTCTCATGCATGTGGATTAATGACTGAATTGATACAGACTTGCCTCTAAATCCCTATTTATGACCTCAGTGCCCCTTTTACCCTCTTTTACAGTTTACCTATGGGAAGCTGCTCAGGCAGGGGCCATGGTGGTATCTTAGGCACTTTTTTTGTGTTCAGAAATTATGAGAATAGTTTGAGTCTGATTTAACTGACAAGCACTGCTTGCCATAATCTGTCTTTTGTTCATTCTTCTTCTCTCTTTCCCACTCTGTTTGTCTCTTTCTGCTGTTTTGAGACTTAAACTTAAATAAAACTGATTGCTCTCATAACCTTAAAATTATTTTAATCATGATTAAATCCTTTAATCATTATGAAAATATTTCAATTATGGTCACAAAAGCCATAATGAAAAATTAAAATATTTAAATGGCAAGATAAAATTTTTGTATATTATTGCTCCACCATAACCAAAGTTAAAGCACAGATATCAAAACAAGATAAAGAGAGAAGCATACAGGTAACTGATAAGTAGCTTTAATATGTAAGCCAGTGACAAGTAATAACTGGATAGAGGGTGTCAATAAATATTTCATAAAAGAAGAAATCTAGGTTCCAATATATCTGTGAAAACATTCAGATTCCCTACAAAGGACAAATTATATAAGATATCATTTGAAATCTATAAGCTTCACAGAAATGAAATAATGATAATTTCCAGTTTTAGGTTTAGAAAACAGAACCATCACTAGTCAGATGTTAAGAATGCAACTGCTACTGGATGGTGGTGGCTCACGCCTTCAGTCCCAGAACATGGGAGGCAAAAGCAGACTTCTCTGTGAGTTTGAGACCAACCTGGTCTATAGAATGAATTCCAGGACAGCCAGGACTGTTATATAGAGAAACCTTGTATCAGAAAACAAGCAAACAAAAATGTAACTGCTAAACCAAGTACTCAGGAGGTAGAAGAAGATGGATCTCTGTGAGTTTGAGGCCAGACTGTTCTACAGATAGAGTTTACACTGTCGAAAGAAAGAAAGAAAGAAAGAAAGAAAGAAAGAAAGAAAGAAAGAAAGAAAGAAAGAAAGAAAAGAAGAAAGAAAGGAAGGAAGGAAAAGGAAAGTAACTGGTACACATGGAGGAAGTTACTTTGTAATTTGAATTGAACACTCTGAAATGTGATTTCCCTTCCACTCATCAGTTCCTGTTATACAAATATATTCCAAGAAAAGACTATGGATTGCATAACTGTGTGGCTGCTCCTTAGGGTACCCTTTATTCTAGTGAAAATAATGAATATCTGAGAGCTCCACTGAGTGTGCACCAACAACAGTCCCTTCACAAGATGTTGTGCTATGCAACCATGGCAGAAAAATAATGGTCAAGTTTACTATTAACCTGGAAATAGTAAGTGAAAATAATGTCTCAACAGTTTTTTCAGAACAATATCATTTTTCAAAGAAAATATTATGTTGACATGGGGGGGAAAGCCTGAAACAAATATCAAAAATTTTAAACAGCTTGTGTTTATCCGATTGTCTCTGAGAGTTAAGTTCATTCATACACACACACACACACACACACACACACACACTTTTTTTATACAAGATCTTTTAAAAATTAGACAGGGGAAGCCAGGAGGTACTGGTGCACACCTTTAATCTCAGCACTGGGGAAGCAGAAGCAGGGGGATCTCTGTGTGTTCAAGGCCAGCCTGGTCTACAGAGTGAGTTCCAGGTCAGCCAGGGATACACACAGAAACCATGTCTCAAAACAAAAACAAAAACAAAAAACAAAAAAAACCTGGGGTGTGACTCAGTTGGTATAGTGCTTTCCGGAATAGAATTACACCCATAATCCCGGGATTTGGGAGGTTGGAGCAGGAGATCCAGAAGTTCAAGGCTATCTTCAGCTATGCGGAAAGTTCAAGGCCAGTCTGGGATATAGGAGACCTGTCTCAAAAGTAAATAAGTAAACTAACAAATGAATGAATAAAGCAAACAGGAGAGCAGAAAAGATCTAGAAGAAACCTATGTGCATTCAGCATTGACACAAAGAGGAGAAAGCCATTGACAAGAAAAAGGGTTGAGGGAAAAAAAAAAAAAAAAAAAAAAAAAAAGGACAGAGGAAATTGCTGGAAGTGATAGAACCAGCAGATTCCATGGATGCAGAAGAGGAGAGAAGAGTGGTTTGGCCTGAGGCACCCTCTTGGGCTCTGTACCTCTGCAAGACACTCCATTATGTACAGATCCCCAAATGTCATCTCAGACCTGGGGACAGAGAGCACCATCTTCCTTCCATGCTAGAGGTTCCCTGCCTTGTGCCAAACTCCCACTTTCCTTTCCTTGCAGGGGACTTTGCATTCAACATTTTTTATTCTTTGGCCAGCCCAAACCCCTCCCCTCCCCTCTTTTTTTTTTTTTTTTTTTTTTTTTTTTTTGATACTTTCTCGGTTTTTTGTTTGATTTTTATCTTCAACATTTGTCTGCAAATTAAGAGTACTGGGGCATTGTCTCTTTCTCTTTCTCTATCCCTCCTTTCTTCCCTTTCAACTATGTGAAAATAAAGCAAGTACCCAACCAGTTGTGCTGGTTGCTGGTGACCAAGGCGCATACCTCTAATCCCAGTGCTCAGGAAGCAGAGGCAAGCAGATCTCTATGTTTGAAGCCACCATGGTCTATAAAGTGAGTACCAGGACAGCCAGGGTTATACAGAGAAACCCTGTCTCAAAGCAAAACTCA